TTTCTCGGGAAATTGAGTTAACTGAAAACCAATGTCAGAGTGTGTTTTGCTCAGCCGTCCCACTCGGGTGCTGAGTGTGATCCCCGTCACTGGGGCGCTGTTTCATTGGGAAATCTTTCACGGAACTTACTACCGCTCACCGGAATTTCACTGGAATTCACCTCCACTTCCACCGAATTTACTGCCTCAACGGGCCGCCGGGCCAAAAAACGGGATTACTTGGTCAGCCGCCGGCTATAAAACGGTACTCCACCCCCAATGAGGCAGGTTTCCCAACCCCCCCCCCAGCTGAGTTCTACTCCCTACCTAATTAGGGCAACATTGTTGGGAAATGGTACTCGACACACTTGTGTGTCGGTGCCTTTCCCTGTGTTGTTCCTTCTCTAGTCTTTCCTACCCGGGCGGTCTAAGACTAAAGTCCCGCTCCCTAGCTATTGCACGTAATTCATTTCTGCTAAGTAATCAGTAACTCTAGAGGGCTAAGTATTCACACACACACATGGACACACACATGTACATACACTTCCCTGCCCCCCGCTTTCCTTCTTACGCTTTCGGTCGTTTCTTGGGCTTTCTCTCAGGCTTTTTAGGTTGTTCTTGAGGCTCGTTTCCCTACCCCAGTCAAGGGCTAAGTATTCATTTTTCCTACACCTACCTTTCTTTCTTGCCCTCTTAGCGCTGCTCTTTCTGTCTTTCTTTTCTTTTGTTTCTAAGGCTTTTTAGGTGACTATTTAGGTTTTTCACATGCGCGCCGCGAAGCGGCACCGTGTGTGTGTCACCCCCTGTGCCAAAGGGTTCACTGCCACCGTTACCGTCACCACCATTTTCCAAAGCAGGGGCGTGTGGCCTTCTTGTCCTACCACACGCAACGAAGCTGTGGACAAGAAGGGGAAGGAGGGACTGATCATCCCTGTGTACCTGCACCTTCAACTGTTGACCAAGCTTTTCCACTCTCGATTTGATTCATGGTGGTTTCCACGATACTCCCCCCATAAACAGGTTTCCCACAGCCGCCTTTCAGCTGCCGTCCGCCGCTCGTCCGCTGCTGTCGCGAGTCTGCAGATGCGCACAAACCTTTTGTTGAAAACACCTTCAATTTGATCGGACTCTTCACCTTGCCGTTGAACCATTCCTTTTCTCGGGAAATTGAGTTAACTGAAAACCAATGTCAGAGTGTCACCACCGGTTTCCACACGTTCCAAATTAAGTCAACTTCCCTTAGGGCTTACTCAGAGGCAGGGGACCAGGCCGGATGCATCGTCGGCTGGTCAACGAAGCTGGCGACGCATCCGAGGATATGGAAATGGGACGCCATTTCCACGTACCTGCTGAAACTTTTGTTTACGCTGTGGCTCCACTCTTCCTTTTTGTTTCCATGGTGGCTCTGCAATGTTCTGCATGCTATATCCCAAAACAGGTTTCTATGCACGGCGATAACTCGATCGGCTACGTATTCAATAACTAGAATCCGCAGTCACGCAGCATGAACACTTGTTCAACATTTCAAGTGTGCTGACCGCTTCACCTTGCGTTTCCCTCATCCATTTTTTCGTGGAATAGAGGTAACTGAAAACCAATTGTCAAAGTGTGTGTGTGTCCTGGATTAGGCCATGGACAGTGCCATGAACTTCGGAGGTCCTAGGATTTCCACACCTTACTTTTCAGCTTCTCCACTGTCCACACATCTGACAAGACCTCCAGTCCAAGCGTGACACATGTGAGGACAGTCGCATCGCATGATGGACTTGTTTGCAGAACCTCTGTTTGCATAAATTTTTGCCATCTCTGAGGATCTGGTCTTCCAGCTGGAACTCACCACAGGTGTCGACCTCCGCCGCTGGCCCCGCCAAGCTCGCCGCGCGGCGGCCGACCCGCGCGTGCCGGCGCCGCCGGCGCCACGGCTGGCTGCGACGCCCAATGCAGAGGAACCACGGGGTGGGCAGCTTGCAAGGTTTGCAGCGAAGAAATGCGGAGATCTGTAGGATCTGTGGAGATACCGTTTCAAAGTCATGAAGTGATACAAAAAAACAACTAAAAACGCTGTTTTGGCCCGCAGGAGGTCATTGGATGGGTCCTACAAGCCATGAACAGCAACATCAACACGCTCCAGTCTCTCAGGACCGGCGTGGGAGAGTGGGTGGCGTGGCTTCTCTTGGGATTGGGGAAATGCAGGAAAGACCTATTCGAATGAAGTCAAATGCAATTGTGATCGGGACATGTATCAGATTGTATCAGTGTATCCGAATGTATCACTGATACCTTCGGATACACTGATTACAGTAGCTGGAGATGCCAAGATGTTGACGCGATGGTCAGATCCAGGCACTGTCGATCGTCCATGACCATCCATGGATCGCGGCGGGGAAGATTAACATGAGATAGATATGCTTGGCAATGCTTGGTATTGTTCGGTGAAAATCCAGGGTTTGCTCGATTGAAAAGGCATAGGGAGGGCACAGTTCTGTATTTTGCCTCCATCAGGTGGAGAGATTTGTTCAATCAATTCAGCAGCTCTTCCAAACTGTAAAAGGGAACCTCTTCAGAGTTGCTTTCATGACTCTGCAATACTTCATGTATGATTTCGTTCGAGACTCAACCCCTCATGCATGCACATGGGCCTCAGCGAAAAAGATGCCTTGCCGTTTAAAGCGACGAAGTCACGAATTCATTGGACGGCAATCGTCCGTCGATTCGTCGGCTCAGCAGTGGCTCAGGATGCCCTCATGCACTGCATCTTTGCTGCTCTACCGTCAGGTGAGCACGATGCCCATAGACGATTCGCACCATGATGTGGCCAACGGATGAAGTCACTTTTTTCCATATCGTAGTGATCGAGTGTAATGACAATGATCGCACTTGAAACCCTGAGCAAAGAACAATCGTTCCACATATGAGTCCGACTTACAATATATAGTTTAGAATATATTATAATATAGATTTATATAGTTTGGAATGTTTTTGGGACCATTTGGGACCTTGATTCACGTGCAGAAGTAAATGACACCAGGTTGGTATGTGTTGAAGAGTGTTAGTCGATTCTTTTGTTCAACACTAGTCTCGTATGACTGCCCTGCACATCCACCAGGTCAGTCATTCCCATGTCCCCGCCTTGTCTGCAGGTGGCCACCCAAAATGGGCTGGCAGATTCGGAGGAGACCCCGCAGCTGGCCATCAGTGGCAGAGGGAGGGTTTTCCAAAACATGTCATGAATATAATAAACTGTAAAGGATTGGACTTGAATTCATCACTGGTGGCACTGAGTCTTCTTTTTGCTTGAATTCGGAAACTGGTTCGTTGTAGAGCGTAACTATTCTGACGCGCTGCCGGGCCCTCGTTCGACGCGTGGACGAACTCAATTTAGACGAGCGATGACTCTGGAGCTCAAACTTTATGCCAGGGCAAACGTCTTTCCCCAAGGAAGCTCCAAAAGCATCCAAAGCTTAAACGGAAAACGGATGAACACGCCACGCCAATGAAACTGACTACCCATATTGACTGGGCTTTGATTGCAGGATAAACCCTGCTATAGCGAATGTTTCTATGAACCTGCACCAGATGTAGCTTTCCGTTCCCAGAGCTCCGGGCAACGCACGTTTGTGCAAGACCAGATCCCCAATAAAGACACCAGACATTGGCAAGATGCAGTCCAGGCATCGGTTCTGGCGAGTGTTTGCATTTAGGTGCACATGTACACCGTCCACTCTGTTTTCTGTGTTGTCAGGCCACTGCGATAACCGCGATAGCTTCCTTCTTCAGATAGCTTCCTTCTTCAAGGTTTGTAGGCATGCTTGCTCATTGCAAGTCAAAGACAACTCACAGTATCTTTTAACAAGGGAGAACCCAATGACCCGGACCTTGGGCATTTGTCATGTAATTACCAAGGCACTGGCCTTGCTACGAGCTCTCGAAAGACATCCTCAATGAGGACGTGAACACGTTTGGTGATTTGATTCCACACATGTCCTGCATGGCCAAAGCCATTGCCGTATATTCTAGATAAACTATTTCAAGTTTGTAGATGAGGTTAGCTGCTAGCGGCTGCAAGATGCTAGATGCAGGCTTTGAGGCGTTGTGAGTCTTGAATATGCGTAAGGTGGCAGAACACATGCGTAAGGTGGCAAGACTTGATTCGAGGATCAGCAGAGGTCTACAAGTGTTTCAACCAAGTTTATGTCCAGAACTTTGCGAAGCATCTCAAAGCCATCGATCAGGTCAACTAGTGTGGTGTGTTATAAGGGTAGTTGCAATTGTTCTGTGTGTAGGTTCCGCCAGTCACATGAGGTTTGTAGGGCCATACTTTTGTGCACTTGACATTCCAGCCCACAATAATCACCCTCAAAATGATTGGTGACGAATTGACACCCTTCTGCCAGCAAATCAGGTTTTGGTTCACGGATCCACGCACCTCCGCATGGGATCCACGGCGGTAGAGGCCGCACCGGACGTGCCAGGAAGGTGCCCAAGAGAATGTCTTGGCGGTGCTGGAGCGCTTGAAAGAGGCCTTTCAGGTGATGGACAGCTTGGAACAAAAGCTTCAGGCGGCTCGCAGCCGCGGCGGCTCCTGTGGAATTTGGTCAGTGCGAAGTATATGCTAGATATAATTATCTCGCGTGTGGGTGAAAACTGAAGAGCTGCTACAAGCGCTAGTTCCCGTTCTTTTCGGGGAAGGGTGGCCTGGCATCTCCTAGCATGTCAGCTAGCTGCAGGGGAACCCAGACTTCAAATGAACGAGAAGAGCGAAAGCAACGATTCAGCCTCACGATTGATTCGTCAGCTTATTTCACCAAAAGCTCCTGTCAGGGCCTGGTTGGCCGCTACTGCGACAGCATGACCTTCTCTCCTGTACCCAGTGATGCCTTGCAGGACATCCAGCGTGAAGAGAGATAATTTGGTGGTGGATGTTTGTAAGGCGGTGTAATTCAAGTGGTCATGCAATGGGGCACTTTGCTTGACTTAGTTTGGCTGTTTATGCAAACGTAACGGAACCGAGTAATGATTAGCAATGAATAGCAATGAATTATTTTTGGAGTTTTTGCATGTGCCTTTCATTCATGTCTACAACAGATACATGCTTTGTGCGGTCAAGCCTCCACCTGTCCGTCTTTGGGATGAAGTTAATTAAGATATGGTGGAAAATCCATTATGTGCAGGACTTGGACTGACTGTTCAGCACGAGCTTCTTGCAACAGTCTGACAGTGTCCCATTGCATTGGTGTCCATTAGCATTGGTGTCCTCTAGTTCCAGTTGATGCGCAACTGCAATTGGAGATGGATACATGCTCCGAGTCACCTGACTCCGTGGGTCCCGAACGTATTTTTCGGTTCAGTTTTTTTGCTGGATGAGTCTTCCAAGAGTTGGTTGGCCGACCCGGGTGACGCATCAAGGACCTTGCATCTCAGATGATCAATCTCGGGGAGATGAAGAAGCAGCTCCTTGATGTTCAGGCCTTCGGCGTTCGGCGTGTCGTGTCAGAGACCTGGGTCAGATCGTTTGTCACCCAGCGACCGACGTCGAAAGGCAATTCGATCTAGAAAGACGTCGAAACCAAAATGGCCGTGTAACAGTTCGTCGATATTTCCCTTGATCACATGTTCCTTGGGGTGGTACCAGTCATACCATGTAGGTCATTCCGGGAAATTTGAGTGCTTTTAGAGGGTTCGAGAGGTGCAGGGAAGCATGGTTGTCCCCCCTAACCTCGCCCCCTCCAAAGAAAGCAGACCACCCAGATGTGTGTTGGGCAGTGGATCACTAGGAGTCCTACCCTGTGAATGGCATTTTGCTCCTGGATTGCTTGACCCTGCAGAAGGACCGATTCGGCTGGATCGAATTTGAGATTCGGATCGAGTTGTGGCGCTGACATTGGACATTAGTACATTGGTCTGAAGCATCTTGGTCTTTGAAGCAATCTTGCACAGTAGAAATTGATAGGATGTGAATGATGTGAGTATTGAATACTTAGTTTTTGAGATGCTTTGAGCAGGGATCTTGAGAATTGTTGTTGCAGACAACAGTTCCACCAAACGAGCGCAAGAGCTTAAGCTTCAAGTGGCCTTAAAATATTTTCAGTTGATCAACTGATCAGCGCCCAAACAGGTGGTGCGGTATGAGGATTGTTGGTGTTTAGATTGGGCTTGAAAGGAGACAAACAACAGGGTACTTTTTGGAACCGTGTTCAATACCAACTTGGAAGCAGCTTCAACAGCTTGGAGTTTTCGGAAGAACATATTACTAGTATATAGGTTTATATATATATATAGTTTATTTGAGGTTCTATCAAGCAGATGTGCTTCCAGTCAATCCTTTTTGCCTAAAAGGTTGAACATGCAAGGCAAGGCTCAGCAATCCCACACATACCAAGCAAGAATGCAAGCAAGGTTTGTAAACGTGGGCTCGACCCGCACCAGCTCTAAACAACTCTCAGAAGTCGAGATTGGTGGGCTAGTTGAGCGATGGCTACAAGTTGATCAAAGTTGATCACTTGCTAAATCAGCGTTGGAGCGCCTGTTTCTGGTCATTCTCACTGTTTCAATCACCACTGGCAAGGCTATTTGTCTCGCCTTCAACTCTTTATTAGTCCAGCCTCTATCACACATGGGGAAGTCTCTCTCCGCAGGGAAAAACCTCCGGTCCGCTGCGACCTTGTCACTGTTGCCTCGGCAGTGGGCTGTCTGCCAAGCACGGCAGCATTAAATCTCCGTAGGACCTGAATCACGGCTGGTCAGATCGACTGGATGAGCTGATCCGGAAGTCACAAGAAGAAATCGAGGAGAGGGGCAAGATGGGGCGAGGGGCTGTGAGAGACACAGTGGCAGTGGGTCATTCTTGTTCTTGGGGAGGATGGGTGTTCGGAGAATGTTTCCATATGTTTCCTTTTACAGGGGGTCCTTTTTTGGACATATTCTAACACAATCAAACACATTCTGATGTTCTGTTTCCATGTGCAGTTTGAGGACAACAGAGACTGATTGCATCACCAAAAGAGTTTCTGCAAAGGAGGGAAAGGGCATTTGCAGGCAAGCAAGTGTTAACATGTGTTAACATGTTTTGTCCACGGCCGGCTTGTGAGCCGCCTTTAATGGGTAAACATGGGTAAACCATATGAGAAACTCACTGGATTGAGAAGCACTCTTGATTTCCCCAGTTCGGGTTCTCACTTCCGGGCTTTCGCGTTCCTTCTTGGGCAGGCCGCCTCCAGGCCAGTGCAACAGTGGACTTCGGAACATCAGGGCACCATCCAGGCGCTTCCGCCCACAGAATCTCGGCTGAGAGGCGAACACGGAGCGCAGAGCTTGGTCCGACGGTCCGATGACCAAAAGCCTAAAAGCCACTTGTCACTGGAGAAGCAGTGCGTTTCCTTCAACCTATCTAGCCTATCTACTCTCTATTCGTTCACCTCTTTATATACCCCCTTAATTATATAGGTGCATGAAACCGAAGCCACTGGACCTCCACACGGCCTGAGCAAAGTGCAAAAAGTACCTCTTTGTATGTGTTGATTTGATCTTGACTTTCGTCAGACTTGTCTTGCGTTTCCACCGGAAGAGTCATTTCCGCTCCGTCAGGCCTGGTTTTGAGTGTATTGCTTTCAAAGCTACTGCAGCTACTAGTAACAAGAAGCTTTCAAACGCCTTTCAACTATAATGAATCAGTGTTTCAGTGCGTGTTTGCTCATTGGCTGCACTGCGTGGCACCTACCTATTCGCTTCTTGGTGTTGCTCTTGATGCGTACCCGGCAAAGTCACCAGTGAGCTTCTGTCACCCGTAAAGAACGTCAGATGCCTGGGGAGTCTTCACCCTCAAATCCCACAGTCTCGGTGTTTCCACGGCAAGTTCTTGGTATGGCTTCCCAAGGACATCGAAAACTTCTTGCAGTACCTGTGACCAAGCTGAATTCAGGAGATTCAACAACTCACAGGCATTTTTGGACTGTTTGACTACCTGATTCAAGGATTCAGTATGCAAGCATAGTTAGTCATGTGTTTAAAATATACTTCTTATTTTGCGTTGTGTTGTCGCAGGAAAGGGGCTCGGATGTGACGCGGACTTCTGGCTCGGATGTGACGCGAACCTATTGGCTCGGATGTGACGCGCGGTGCCCGTGTGTCCGTGTGCCCGTGTGCGCCTGTGAGTAGTAGTAGTAGTAGTAGTAGTAGTAGTAGTAGTGGTGGTAGTAGTAGTGCGTTCGTTTTTTCTATGATGTCTGTCTGTCTATCTCTTTCTCTTTGCAAAGAAAGGATGAGGGCGATGCAGCTTTGATCACAGGCCATCACTTGATGCCATCGACTCCAGAAACGAAGAGGTTCTCAGCTTCCTCGGAGCTGAACGACAACGCCTGGGCGATGGTCTGGGAGGACTTGATTGAGAGGGTCGTTGGAGGGGTCAGGTGCTACGCCTTGCAGATAGACTGACAGAAAAAAATAACTATGTGTATGCTGCACTGTGAAAGAAATCCCGTCCAACCGCCGTCACGCGCTCCGTGAGCATTCCACTGCATCTGCATGCCAATAGCTGTGCTGCGCCTGATCTTCCTGTTCCTTTCTGCTCCTTCGTGCGCCTTGGCCTCCCCGTTCGTCGGGTCGGTCGGTCGCCCGCTCACTTCGTTCGTTTTTCCCTACTCGACCGCTTCGTTTCACGCGCCTTGGCTTCGCCTTCGCTTCGTTCTAGGATTCTACTTTGTTCTAGTCACTTCAGCCTTTAAGTTCTCAGCTTGTTCTACTTTGTTTTAGAATGATGATGGGGTCCAAGCTGAATTGTCGATAGAGCAACAAGGAGTCGGCCAAAATTCGGTAAAAAGGTGTTGAAGCAGCAGCTGTCTTTGATGCGCGTACTGATATTACCTAAGCCAAAATCGAAGCCAACAGTCCATTCATGGGAAGACAGCAGTGCTTTGGTCTTGTCCGAGGCAACGATGCAGAAAACGCTTGCAAGAGGTGAGCACACTCTCTTTGCCTTTCGTGTGATCGACTCCAGCACGCAGGGGATCAAAGTTCCGCCGAAAAAGGTTGATTAGGTTGATTTAAAAGGCAACTCGAATGTCGCAATGGAAGATGGTCATGCAAAGTGGGCCACATGGGAGTGTCATCGCTCGCTATGATGACGGCAAAAACGCAGAGGTGAAAAGGGGAGCACCTCGTGTGGACTTGAACCTCCCACACAGCCGGGATGAGGAAGCGCGTGCTCGTTTCCACAATGAGCTGATGATGAAATTTCGTCTGTTGCCTTTGAGCACACTCGTGGACAAGATCCGGGAAAAAAGCAACAAGAGCAAGGGGTCAGCTCCGGACAAGGAAGCTTCAGAGAAGCCTGCAGTAGAAGAGCGGCTGCAGAAGCGCCTTTGTCGTGTTGCAATGGGAGACTCGCAGTGTCTGTGAAAAACCTGTGTGCATCGTTGCGCCAAATCCTGCGCCATGCAGTATCTGTTTGATTTTTCTCAAGCAAAGAAGATGAACTAGGTAGCAATGCATTGAATAGACAGTGACCTTTGTCATTATTCAGAAGGATCGAGTCTAACTCCTTCTCCGGTCCAATCTGCAGGTTCCTGGACCTAAGTCACCCAGACAACGAAGACTTCTTGCCTACGCTGAGAAGTGGAAGCAACCAGCTGCACGTCGCGCGCGGAAGAGCCAGACATGTTTGGGTGCCTCCTGGACCTTAGTGTACCAGTACCTTCAGTTCGTGAATCCCAAAAGCGGGGCCGCAATGTATGTTGAATATGATGTTGCTTTTAAATGAGAATTTGGCAGCCCCAGGCACGGTGATTTTTGCGTGCAGGGCTCACCTCTTTGCTTGGCCTTAGTCGATCGATCGAGGTGCTGACTCACAAGATTGAGGCTTTGCGGCGCCATTTTCTCCGTGCCTCCCAACACCGATTTGTCACCAACCAATTGCTACCAACCACTTGTCACCAACCAATTGTCATCAACCAATTGTCAGCAACCACACCCACCAATTGTCACCATACTTGTCATCAACCAATTGCGACCAACCAATGTCACCAACCAATTGCAACCAACCAATTGGCACCAACCAATTGCGACCAACCAATTGCCACCAACTTGTTGCCACCCACCAATTAGGAGTAGGAGTAGTAGTGCCACCTGTCCGTGTGTGCCCGTGTGCCTGTGAGTAGTAGTAGGAGTAGTAGTAGGAGTAGTAGTAGTAGTAGTGGTAGTAGTAGTAGTAGTGGTGTTGGTGGTGGTGGTGGTGGTAGTAGTGGTAGTGGTAGTGGTAGTGTTAGTGGTAGTGATAGTGCTAGTGGTGGTGGTGGTAGTGGTAGTGGTAGTGGTAGTAGTAGTGGTAGTAGTAGTAGTAGTAGTAATATTAATAGTAGTAGTAGTTTTGGTGTCGCAAATGAGATCCTTGCCGTTGTCACACCCTCCCATACTCTCCCGGGACTTTGGAAACAGCACATAGAAGTGATCGACGTGCAAGTGAACAGCCGAGACTTTCACACATTTGAGTTCCAGATCGTTTTGGTATGTTTTAGCAAAGCACATTGGTGGAAAATGGTTATGGCAAGCTGACCGCATCACCTTCAGACATGCGCAAGCTAGCAGCAATACTTGATGATGTCCTTCCTTATTTTTGCTAGACTCATCTACCAGAGATCGCCATCGCAAATAGATTTGCCCTTTTATTAAGTTTTTTGGTCGGTGTTTTCTCGCTAAACGATCTACTGACCCCGGCCCAGGCTTCGTGTTCAGAGGATTCAATTGGACTTCCCCCAACACCAGAAGCAGGCGGCGGAAAGGGCTACATATAATATATATATATAAACTACATACATACGTGTTTTTTTCCGGTAGATGATGGTTAAGCGAATTTGCAATCAGGAAACCATCAAACCATGGACCTGGAGGTTGATGATGAAACAATTTGTTTTTGTTTTCCAGCTTTCGGGGCCTGCTAGACACCGCCATTGGGGCGATGAATTCGACATGCTTGGGCCGGGTGGCGAGTGGCGGTTTTGGAAGTGCAGGCGACCAACCAGCTAGCAGCTGGTCATTTAGCATTGTTGACAGGCTTCTTTCACACACCTTTAGTGGTTTCAGATTGAAGCTACAATGCATTTCAGACAAACTGCTACAGCTGTTTCCACAGTGTTTATAGATAGAGCACCACTTCGTAACGCGCTCAAACATAACACAGGCTAGCATTGAAAAACATGTTCATTGTGTTACATGCTCCTAGGTGCACGAGTACAAGTGGAAACCTTGATCTGACTGAGGTTTCCTAGCTTAGTTTTCAAGAGTTTTCATACTACAATCATCTACAACCTATTAACTCGAGAGCCTTGGCACACCTTAACGTAGCATCAAGAATCCAACAACTTTCATTTTTGCCCTTCTTGTTAGTCTTGAGTAGTCTTTTTGGCAAACTATAGATTTAACGAAGGACTACAGTGAGCTGATGAGTTGCAACTACTGCCTGACTCAACCTGAGATTCTCACCTAGCGCCGGGCCCCAGAAGGCACTTCGATAGAAGATCACTTTGAATATGAGCACGGAGCATGGGACAGGAATCCAATCCCATTTAGTTGATGAAGAAGATGTAGGTCTATGCTTTCCTTCAACTACAAAACCACGTCACCACCAATTGAGTATTCTCCCCAAATTGACCGTTTGTTATGTGTTGCTTCATCCCAAGGGACGGAACGTGCAGGTGCAGCAGATGCAACACCTGGAGCTGCTGTTGCACCAGATAGGCAGGGCTCCGCGGTGCTCCTGACGGACCGGGAGACCGCAGCGGTGGGTGACCGGCGGCCCGGTGGCTTCAAAAAGGAAAGACACCTGTGTCACAGTGGACACAGAATGGTAAGTAGGGTCGGATACAGAAACACCTTTGAAGAGTGTAGATTGTGGGAATGACATGTCGTGTCATCCCATGAGAAAGCAGATTTGGCCATGTAACACGGAGGTCAGGTCACTGTCTCCTTTGTTTACTTGTTTGATTTTGTTTGTTTCAATTGGTATCCATGGTCAATGGTCGAGCCATATCAAGCCACAGAGTCCAGGTTCTTTGCATCAGGCACACGGACCTTGGTCTTGAGCTGCAATGCAGGCGGAGTGTTGGATTCCTTCTACACCGATATGATTGTCCATTCGAAGGAGTGGTGTTGCATCAAGCCTGAGGTTGCCTTATGAGACAAAGTCGTGCCGTTTGTTTAACCCTTGACCTAGTTGGCGCATGATGTTGCAGAATTCTACAGCAATTTATAGACTTACGACTTACGACCCCACAATGCTCAAACCTAACTTACTGTACTTGGTCGAGGGCATTCGCTTCCACCCTCCCTTCACTTTGCCACTGACACGGTACCTTTTCCTTTTTGGAACAGGAGCGGACCACCGATTTCAAGAGGGAGTTGACCAAGAGCCTCGAGAGAATCGAGGCAGAGAACAGCTGGCAGAGCATGAGCAGGAGCATGCATGATCAGCAAAGAAAAGACGGTGTTTCTTGCTGAGGTTGTTCACATTTGTGCACAGTGTTTGATGTATTATTTGTCCACTAGTGGCTTGCTGAGCCCTTCCTCACCTGATAAGGGGGACAAAGAAAGCATGAATGGGATCTTTGCATCGAGCCTGAATCCTTGAGGAGGATGCATTTTTCCAGACTTCATATTCTGTCATATGCTTTTAAAGATTGGGTTTGATGCAAACTCAAACAACCCCCCAAAGCCAAACCTTGAAGGTCAGACAACAGCTACAATCGAAGTGTTTCTGTCAACTCGTTGGGATGTCTTCAGTGAAGTGGCTGCCAGGTATCCTCGAAGCGTTTCATTGAAGCCTTGCAACAGCAGAAGCCTACAATCTTGCAGACGCTTGGAAGTTGATTTCTGTGGCCTCGTTTTCTTGGCCCAGACTCTAAGGCCACCATTGTTAGGCCACTTTGTAGATCCTTGCTTGATTTGAGCCGGGAAGCCAGGAACCACAAATACAGAAAGGCATATAAAGGAATCATGAAATACAAGGCCTGCTGCACTTCCCTCAGTCAGTAGATGAATTTGGTACAAGGCCCTGCCTTTACCGACATTTCCAGGATGTGATGATGTGGTCATGTGGTGGTGAACGTTTCCAGGGAACCTTTTGGTAAAAAGATCCAGTGAATTTGTCGTTTGATCCATTTCCACCTGATCCATTTGTTGGTTCCCTCGTTGGAGTGAGACCATGTCCCCATTCAGTGCTGCCATGCATTCTGTCCACGTGTCACGTAAGGAAGTTGCAGCTGTTCATCCAGAGTCTGCAAGATCCAGCGCTACAGACGCTTCAGAGCGACACCTTTGGAGAACTCGAGGCAACCACGGTGCAGTGTCGGTGTGTGTTTTCCGGGGGATTCAGCTTCGGTGCAGCTTCGTTGGTTTCCACAGTCTCCTTCTTTTTCTGGGCGATGGACGTTCTTTTTGTTGGACAAGTACCTAGCACGTCGCAGCAGAAAAGCAAAGGGAGAGTTGGATTGGTTTGAGGAAGGAACAATTTTGGTTCGCACTATCCCCCATGGTCAATCCGTTCCGTGTGTCACCAATGTCCCTCTTTGGAAGAATTTGGTTGTGATCACCAAAAGACCCTATGACATCTATGACCTATCCTACTTGTTACGTTCGTAGCTTCTTGCTACGTTCGCAGATAGTGTCCTTGTGACGTTCGTAGCGATGCATTTGTTACCTACCCTACCCTCCTCAGATGGATCGGTGCATGTTGGGACCTCCTGGCTCGGACGCGCTGGCCACGGGAAGCACCGATGTGGCTGGCTGTGGTTCGCTTAACCACCGGGGGGAACACCCCAGTTGACCATTGTCGAATGAACAGATTTCTCTATAAGAGATGTCAACCTCCCATGGTTTGGTGGGGTAGATTTTGACTTACAGCCATGTTTTGCAGACTGCAAGCAAGAACTCTCCTTCAAACCAGACTCTCCAGGCGGATGACATGGCTCCCAGCAAGGCGCGACATGAAATCTTCGCCGGCGCTGTTGATGTTAGAACATCTAGTGATTGGATACTGTCGGCCTTGACGTTTCTCAGCACAATTTCGCTGCTCTGGGCGAGTTATTGATCAACGCAGGCAACATTCAATGTACTTACTCTCGCTGGTAAAGTTACTGGTGACCAGGTGCGTTTAGATCTCAAGACTCAAGACAGACCCTCAAACTCACTTGCTTGAGAGGAACGGCTCATTTTTGAATGAACTATGCCAACTTCAGTGAGTACCGACCTTAGTTGCTTGATCTACAGGCCTTGCTGATGGCCGAGCACCGTGGGGAGGAGCTGAAGTTCTCCTTCCAGGACCAGCCAGCAGTGCGCGTGGACGGGCGGATCGGACGTGGACTCTGTTTGGTGGGGCATCCCAGCTGATGCGATGTGTGCAGTGGTGTAGAGCACTCGTCTTCTGCTTTGACCCCCCAAAGCTTGTAATATTTTGTGGTCCAACACAGGGGGTGATCATAATCTCGCCAATGTTTCTCAGAGTCTATTGTAGAATATTGTAGAATCAACTTCGCACCTTCCCATGGCCTCATTATGGACTTATTTACCCCTGCGGATTGTTCCGCCGGCCTTTTGGCTGAGGGGAGGGGGGTGAAAGAGTGACTAGGGCGTACACGGTAGAGGTGCAGACCGCTAGTGTCTTTTATGCGCAGAGTCTTATCCTCTTGCTCTTTGAGCCTTGAAGCAGTCAAGCATGGACACACTATATCGGCTGTTGGAGTGGAACCCTGTACAGGTAGGCTCTACTTTTCAGCAGGCACAAGATTCATGTCCACTCCTAGCTGATTGCGTATGTCGCATACTCTTTTTCTACTGCAAGGCTAAAACAGTCCAGCTAGCTCTGACAACTTAAAAGAAAACTACGGTGCCATGTACTTACCTAATCCAGGGTGTTTCACACTTAGAGAAGGTAATCTCATAGCTACTAAATACAGTGAGGGAGCAATAGCTGACTCACCTCAAGTACAAAATCAAAACGATAATGTACCTCGGCTGGAGACTGTACTTTTCGCAGGCGAAGATACCATGTACCGGCGCTCACTAGCTCTTTAGGGCCTGAGCTAAATCAAACTAAAAGGGAAAGCGGCTTTTTCTCTACAGAGACCTATAAAAGAATCAAACGACACTCGCGTAACAAGGAACTAAAAATTCAAGACCGCACAAATGCAATTAATTAAAATGCCTTGCAAAATGCAAGGAGCGTACGGTCCGAGGAATAATCTTCTCGTGACGTGGTCTCGACCGCTTTCATCCACAGACAAAATAAAACTGCATCAAAAGGACTCTCTTTCACATTCACATCAAAAACACAAGAAGGAGATACCGGCAAATGTATGTACAAAAAAAATCTTGCACTACAATTGCAAATCTTGAAATGACTTAATCATCAACCATGACTGGTTGTCCATTAGAGGTCACTTCATAAGAGCGGTGGTGATAGATATCATCAGTTATGTAAAACTGTCCATATCTACCTGCTAAAGTTTAAAACTTCAGCCCGGCAACTTAAAGTCAAGCTTGGAAGCAAAGTATCAACTGTAACCAGAAGTATCTTCACTTCCTAGCCATCATTTAAATTTCAGCCTTCGCTCAGGAATTATGCCGCTGCAGACGATGAAGCTGCTTGATCAGAAGTTGGCGGCCTTCCTTTCCTTTTATTCTGCTTCTGTTTCTCCTTCCTCCGCAAGTTCGCCTCATGAAGAGTTGCTCCCATGCGATACTGTCTTCTGTCTCCAGATGAAAAGGAAGCTGGTCTGAGTGAAATAAACATTGGACCATGACTGTCCTCGTCAGAGGGTCTTGAGCACATAACCTCCGTGTCAATCATAGCAAAGTTCTCTGAAAAATTACAGATGAACTCCTTCGTGCTCACTGTGGAATTTTCATATTCCTCTTCACTCATTGAATGACCCCATTCAACAATGGTAGACAAACATGTATCGCCAAGCTGTGATCCTTGGTATTCTTCTTTTTCAACAGTAGAATATTCTTCCCAGAGTTTATCAAAGTAAACTTCACACTTCTTGAGGACCTGTGAAGTTGAACTGTAAAATGTTCTGGGAATAGGTGCTTTGATACCAGGATCTGCTTTTACACGAGCTTCTGAAAACCTGCGGATCCAATGCTGCATGGTGCTGTAATAGTAGTTAGCCATTGGCTGCCTGTTGTACCCAGACATTCTGTAGGCCAAACTATTTGCATCACCAGAAATGATGTCCACCTCATAGACAAAACACTCGTAAAGCATCAATGCTGTCTGTTCTCCTGTCAGTAGGTGGGCATCCACAGCAGTGTGTATCAACATGATAATTACAGACTCTGATGGTATGCATGTTCGCTCGAGTAAGTGGAACACGCTTGTCCTCAGGACCATAGTCATCAAATTCAAAGTCTGCATCCTTGAAATCTTGACGAGGCCTTGTTTCTCCAAAACAAATCTCGTAGATAGCCCAAGTTACATCACGCTGTTCACAGTGACCAAGTTCTTGATCATGTCCAGCAATGATCTTGACATATCCACCTGGTGCCAATCTAGCCATCACTGCAAGATTCTCCCAATCATTGAAACAAACTGTCCAATTCTTTTGCTCAATAAATTCCTTGGCAGGAACAAGAAGATGAGCTTCCTGGAGAATCACGACATGTGCACGTAAAAAGAAGAGCATGTTGAAGAAAAGGTTGTTCTCAAATTGCTCATTCTGAAGTGACATGGCGCTCTGTTTGCGTGGCCTCATTGCACTATCAAGTCCTTGGAGAAACCTTGGTGTGGTGTACTTCTGACCACGAACCATGTTGCCATAGTTCCAGGATAAAAATGTCAAGGACTCTGAGCTGGCCAATAAGTTAGTTCCATATGGTTCTTCTATTCTTCCCTTGAGGAACCTTCTGCACAGCTCTTCATAGAAGGTGACAAAGTCCCAACTGGGTCCCTTGGGACCATATGATTCCAGTTCCTTCTTGAGTTCCTTCTTCGTCTCCTCCAATTCTTCTCGAGCATGTCCTGCCCTTTCAAGGGCCTTTGGATCGACCTGATACTTGCCATCCAAATGAATGATGCGATCATCATTGATAAAGAATCTCTTCAAATCATGCTCTGGTTCATGTTCATAACAATCAGGTGGAGGTACTGGACAGATATTACGAATGGATCGAACAAAATCATTCTCATTGATCCTTGACTGATAATGAGGATGGGAAATCTCACCTTTTCTGAAACAAACATGATTCAGCAATCTTGCGTGAGTTTCCCTGAAGCATTGTTGATAAAGGCCAATACCTGGATCTCCTGTAAGCTCTCCAAGCAACTTCAAAGGTGAAGTATGCAACTCATAGGTATTGTCAACTTTTGTTGTATCCCTTTCAACAACTACTTCAGATGGAAAAGATTCCTGGATTTCCGCCTCCAATTTCTTCTCTCCATCATCCTCTCTGACCTCTTTTATTTTCTCCACCGCCTCTTTCTTCTCTTCCATTGTTGCATCATCCTGAACTTCTTCATGAAAATGAGGATCAGGTATTTTATTCAGGCGGCTTTTCTTAGATTTCGGCAGACGTGGAGTATCATCAAGGTTAGCATCCATCTCACCTGATGGTAAGTGCGATGCAGCCGAGTCCTCACCTATCTCTCTTGACAGAAAGTGTGGCGTTGACTCCTCCTTGGCTTCCTCCTGGTCCACTTCCATCCTTGGTTCCTCTGAAGGAAAAACACCTGCCTTCTCGTCAAATATTTCTTCTTCCTTTTCAGGTTCAACTGCAGGATCTTCTTCAGGAACTTCCTCTTCCATATTCTCATCTTCTAGAAGTGTCCTACTTCCAGTATAGATTTCACCAGCGATAGTGGAGACTCTTGTATAAGGAGGAACTTCTTCACCTGCTTCAAAAGCTTGTTCTGCAACATCCTTGGTGAGCAAGTCCTCTACAAGATTCTCTCCCTCGGTTCTTGGAAGAGGTCCTGAGGTCTCATAAAAATCTGTCCTCTCTGAACTGAAAGCTTCTGTCGCCTTCTCATTGTCCTTTTGATCCCTGAACAGGTGAGTAATCTTCACAGCTTCTCCCTGTAGCACCTGATCACCTCCTCTATACTTGTCGACAATGGAGCGCCATACTGGAACATCATCATCATCAAAATCAAGCTCCATATCATCTGCCAACAGGTATGAGATGTTTTGAGCTGCCTGTTCTTCTTCTTCATCACGTTCTTTGGCAAGCTCCTCATCCTTCTGGATCTTGAAGATACCCTTCAGGATGTCTTGTAGTACCTTTAAGTTCAGCTTCGATGATGGCTCATACGTCCCTGAACTTACAGGCTCAACTACAACACGAGAGCAAGAAATCGCCTCCAAAAACTTGGAATTGTATTGGCGTTCAAACTCTTCCTTCTTGATCATCTCATACAAGGGATCAGAAACTGCAACACGCGCCTGAACATACTCACGAAGTTGATAGCATGCATGTTGCACAAATCTACTGTTGGAGTTGTGAAGAAAACTCTCTAAATGATTCCTGTCACGGTCAATCAAGTACCACACAATTCTTGCAGAAAAACGGAATTTCTTGAAGTTCATAGCAAAATGTGTATGATACTTCTCTGGATTCCTTTCTGCTTGTAAGGCGGCCTCTGAAGTCTTGTAAGCTGGGAGATTTGTGTCTGGATCCAAGATCATAAACTCTTCCCACAAGATCGAGTGGTCAAGAACCCACTTGGGAAGCACCTTGATGAAAAAGTCACAAACAAGTTCTGACACAAGGTGCATGACACGACCAGTCTCTTCCTCCTGCTTGAAGCGATAGTGCAATTTGGCAAATAAAGGATTGTTGAATGCTTCCTCCACTGTGTTGCCAAAATTATCCCACTGAGGTTCTGGAATACCAAAGTTCCAACCCAGCAATTTGGGATCTCTGCACAGATCCAAGAAGCTTGAAAGTTCTATGGATTGAATACCATGGTCTGTCAGAATTTCAGCCCAGCGGCGTCCATTCTCCCAAGCACGGATGAAGAAAAACTGTTGGTATCCAGTTTGTGCCAACTCCATCCACTGTGAAATTCCGGGTTCAAAACTCGGTGCATACGTCTTGGGGTCTTCCTCTGTTCCATAAACACTTGGACGTAGCAACTTGTACCTTCTACAAAAATATTCTCTCTGGTGCCTTGTCAACCTGTCCCAATCCCTCACTAGAATCACGTCTTCTCCAGTGCTCTGGAGTACACGTGTTCCTACGCGATCATGGAGTGATACCATGCCAATGTCATATACCATCCATGGGTTGAGAACCAGGTTGTTGACATTCTGAATGAACCA